ATATATATACCTTATATATACTTTCAAATGTATATATATACCTTATATATACATATATACCTTATATGTATATCTTTCATATATACACACACACACACACATATATATACATATATATATTTTCAAAAATAATTTTGTTACAAAAGTAATTCCTAATATCATTATAATATTAATTATAATAACCTACATTGTTGTAATATTAATTCTTTGCACTGCATCTCTTTATGAAGTCGATTAAAAAGATTTTTAAGAAGAAGACAAAGGAAAAGTCGTCTGCCAATTTATTAATGTTTACATTTTATATTTCAATGTGCAATAAATATCCTTTCACTACAAGTTGTACGTGATAACTGAATATTTTCACAGGTGCAAAGAATTAATAATCTCTCACTTTTCGAAGGAAAATTTTTCATTAGAAAGGATACTTCGCACATGTTTCTCTTTTACGGGAGTTTCCGTAGGGTTTACAGCTTTCCCTATAGAGATGCTCTAAAAATTGAAAGATCATTCATTACAATTCTGAAAATGTATTTGAATAATTCGATATCAAATTCTTTCAATCGTGAACACTAAAACTACTAAAGAATTATACATGTTTCCATTTCAAATGAATAAAAATTAATCGAGATTTTGAAATATTCTTGACAATTGCGAAAGGTCTGAAAAGTAATTTTAGTGTTGAAAATGAAAATTTCTAAATATATATGTATATATCCGTTTACCAGCTGGTGAAGTTGTTTATCGGTGAGTGGAACGACACTCGTCATGATAATAGCGTACAACAGCTGCGATAGAAATTAAAGCACGTGTAAATAGGAATTTTAATGGTCAGTCTGTATGAAAAAACATCATTCCAGCAATTCGTCACTCATCGTCGAAATGCGTTAAACAAACACACTCGACAGCGTTATATTGCTCCGCATCGCCTGAAAAATACACAGCTAACAATATTCTTCACGAAGAATGATACGTCACGGATGTAATGTGTAATTTCGATCACTTTTCACCAAATTGTGTTCGTATTAATTAAAACCTATGATACACCATATCGATACATTCATCAAATCGAGATAAATAGAACCAAGGAACGTGAGAAATTTTCAAGAAACTCGTGTTTAAAATAGATGCCTTGAACTGGGAAATTATTAATTTGACAATATCAAGATCTTCTCCCCTTTAACTAACAGACTTTGGATTTTAAGCTAATTCTTAGTTTCTAATACAATATTTTGTTTTTGTTTGTATGCATATTAAGTAACAATGTTTAGCGATAATAAGTAACAATCTTGTTAAATAAAAGAACAACACTATCATCCTAAGAAACAGTTCGATTCTGAAGTTAATTTTTACAAACATCTGAAAATCGATACGATCCATGAACCGAGACCTTGTTTCAAAGATCATTTAATATGTTGTAAGATCGTGTTATCCGCATTTCGTTTAAAAAAAAAAAAAAACCTACAAAACAGTAGAAAATATGATCCGTGATAGAATTTTTTTTTGAACCCTTGACTTTTGCATTTTTTTATTACGTATTCGAAGTGTTCAATCTCGGAAGTAGAAATGATGGGTCTTTTATGTTCATTAACCCTCCGAGTGGTGTCACCGCACTAGTACGGTTAACGATGCCTTGTGCCAGAAAGAGTGTGCCGCTATACGGTTACGTTCATTCAGAAAGTACTTCACTGGTTGCGCTTGTACATTTAGATGAACCGAGAGGCGAGATGTAGCTCGTTATAGCATAAGTCAAAGACCCTGTGTGTATCGCAACACTGTCTCGGTATATATCAACTCTACCAGCGAAGAAAGATAATAAAGTGGAATAAACACAATGTTGACGGTGATACTCGGCTCTGACATGCATTCAACTACAGACAATAACCAACATAAATATAAATTACTAATTCATTGTTTAAAAGTATACATTGGTAAGATATATAAATAATACGCGTATAATATAAAATATAAATATTTTAAGAAACTAATCGATAATTATTTCATGTTTGTATCATATAGAAATATTTATAAATATTAGCGATTCAATACTAATTCAATCTATCGTAGATATTTGCACTGGTGCGAACATTTTCTTCGATGTTGACGGATTTATTTTTGGTGGAAAGCATAACATTTTTTGATTGTTTCGATACTTTTAAATTTTCTGCTTAAAAAAAAAAAAAAAA